GATACATTTTTTATAGATTTTAAGACTTTCAAGATCATTCAGTTCTTAAACAAATCTCAATGTATTGTCCACCTGCAGTAGAAATTTGATTTTATTTAATTATAAATTACTGGCGACTCACCTGCTTGTCCATCATTCCAATATCTTCACTCACTGGGTTGAGGCTGCTTCCACGCCTGTGTCGTCTGCGCAAATTACTTTCCTTCATAAACAAAGTATGGCCTTGATTTAATATTTTTTGGATAAACCTTTAAAAGTAGCTTTTCAAAATGTTAAAATAGATATAAAACAAATATGAAAAATGTTAAATAATTTAAAAAGTTTATCTCAAAATATTAAGTTATTTGAAAAGCCTATCCACAAATATTAAATATGGGACTAGGTCACATAATTACTTTGCCAGTAAATAGTAAAGTATTGCAGTATGCAATGGTACCTTTTTTATTGGACTAGCATAATATTTCAAAGACAAACATTCAAGAGTTTTCCTCTCTTCTTCAGGTCTGAAACAATACTGATCAATCTGATAGAGTTTAACACTTAAAACAACTGATGTTAGAGAAGAGAAGGGAGAGGAGTGAGTGGGGTGTCATAAATAGCAGAAGATGTGCCTGAAAGTGAAAGGTGCAGGTTTGCTGAGAAGATTCAGAAAAAGTAAATAAATAGAGGAGAGTCAATAAGCTAGTTGAGAAGAAAAAAAAAAACACAAGAGAAAAAACAAAACAAGAAAACAGCAGAGCAGGGCATGCAAATATATAGCTGCATATATGTATGTATATAAATTGATCCAATAAAGGTGAAACGAGAATATTGAGAAATAACTATATAAGACATTAAGATGAGTGTTTATATAAAGTTTTGGTAGTGTGTGAGAAAGCCAGAGTCTACATTAAGTACTTAATTTCTGGTGTTGAAATGTGTGATCATTTTCATCTCAAATGTCTTTCGTTCATGAGAGTCTTTGAAATACCCTTTAAGAACTTTAATCCTGTGGTTTTGGATGGAGTGACCAGTCTGGGTGAAGTGATGACCAACAGAGGTACAATATCCATTTTCCTTGTGGTTCTTGATTGAGTGTCTGTATAGATTCATTCTGAGATGCAGCTTAAGGCCAGTTTCTCAAATGTAGCAACCTTTGTCACACACCGTAAACTGCATCATGTATACCACATTCGCAGATGTGCAAGGATATGGTCCCTTAATGTTGTATGATTTGTTATTGTGTCTGCTTGTGTTATTGCCACATATACGTTGACACAGTTTGCAGAGTGATTTGTTGCATCGTACAGTGCCATTCTGTGTGAGCTTCTGTTCTGTGGTCAATTTGCTGTGGACCAATCTCTGTCTCAGGTTTGGCGGTTGTTTGAATGCTAGTATGAGGTGTTCAGGAAATATTTCTTTGAGTGTGGGGCCCTCTGAAATCAATGGTTGTAGCTCTTTAATGATTTTATGTTTTCCTTCTAGAGTTGGGTTGTATGTAACTACTAGAGGGAGTCTTGTTTTGTTTTCCTTTTCTTTGTATTGTAGAAGCCTTTCCCGTGGTGTTTTAGAGCAGATTTTATTTTTTTAGATATTGTCCTTTCCTTGTAGCTCTTTTACTTAGATGACTCTGACAGTGTACTCGGGTGCTGACCTCTGTCTTTTGTGTTAGAGCAAATGCGGTGATACCTGATAGCCTGGCTGTAGATGATACCTTGTTTGGTATGATGGGGATGGAAGCTGGAATTGTGGAGGTAGCTGTACCTGTCTGTGGGTTTTATATATACAGACAAATGAAGAATGCCATTGGTGACAATTATTGTGCAGTCCAAGAAACTCACACCATGATTTGAAAAGTTCATTTTAAGGTTTATTGACGGTGGAATGAATGAATGATTCAATAGATTATTAAGTCTATAAGGCTTTCTTCACCTTCTGTCCATATTATGAAAATATAATTGATGTAATGATAATATGTATATGGTTTGTGGGGCTGTATATATAAAAATCTGTTTTCTAGGTCAACCATGAAAAGATTAGCGTATTGGGGTGACATTTGTGTGCCCATACCTGTCCCTGTCATTTGTAGGTAGTTATTGTTATTAAAACTGAAATAGTCGTGTGTGAGTATGAATTCTATAAGCTGGGCAATTATTATCATATTTGTGTGTTGGTTTGTGGGATGAGAGAAATGTAATGCTGGCCTCAATACCATCCTTATGTGGGATGTTACTGTATAAGGATTCCACATCCATTGTTACTAGTATAGTGTTTTCAGGTAGTTCATTTATCTGGTTAAGTTTATTTAGGAAGTGTGTAGTGTCCTGGATAAAGTTCTCAGTCTTAATAATTAGGGGCTAAAGAATGTTTTCCATTAGGACAGATATTTGTTCCATGAGTGTTCCCATTCCTGTTATAATGGGACATCCTGGGTTTCCTGGCTTGTGGATTTTTGGCAAGGTGTAGAAGTTTGCTGTATGTGTTTCAGAAATGATTTGATAAGTTTTGTGAGTTTAGTTGTATATTCCTTGGTGGGGTCCTTGTCCAGTTTATTGTAGTAGTTTACATTGGACAACTGTCTGTTCCCTTCTGTAATGTAGTCCTGGGTGTTCATGACAACTACTGATCCACCCTTGTCAGCCGGCTTGATGATGATGTTTTTATTATTCATCAAGTTATCCAAGGCCCTTCTTTCCATAGGTGAGAGGTTGTATGTGATTTTTTTCTCTTGTGTGGTAACAAGGGATGCCACTCCCGGGCGAAAACTTTCAATGAAGCTGCCCAATTTGATGTTACATCCTGCTGTCAGTGTAAAGTCTTTGTTTTTTTCCCAACATTAATATCCTGGTTGAGAGTAGTGTTTTTCGTCATAGAAGAATTCCTTAAGTCTCATTCGCCTGAAAAATTCTTCCAAGTCTGACTATAACTGGATGTGATCCAGTTTTGTACTAGGACAGATTGTTAGCCCCTTGGATAAGACTGAATCCCAGTATTGTCCATGCAGTGTTCGTGGTAGTTAGCAGGCTCAGTTTGGTTTGGGTCATTGATAGTTCCGGTGGGAGTTAGTTGTTTTTTACTGGTGCAATCAATTGATCTTTCATTTGGGCTTTCTTTGTGCTGTGTGAAGCCTGCCAGTTTCTTATTCATTTTCCCGATGAGATTCTGTTTTTGCTTCCTGTAGAAGTAATCCATTTCTAATTCCATTGCTTTGC